AAATTAGATCAGTGATGTCAATGTAAATATTAATATGCCATTCTAGTTAGTGAGCTGATCCCTTCAGTTAAGACAAAAGGCAAAGCAGCAATGACAGTGTCATAAGAAAATCAGAGTCAGTCAAAAAGGAACTCTCCTAGTAGCTCCTTACATTTACATGGACTCAAGCCCATGCAGATGCACTCTTCCTTAGTAAGGCCTGACCCAAACCATTATGTTGTGCTGCACATTCATGAAAGGACCAGTCTATCCAACCAATCTGAGCCAATTTGGTCAGTACAAGTGCTCCCTGCAATACCTGTTGATTGAAGCCATGTTTCTCTTCTATGACAAATGTATTATATAAACTCCATGGGAGACCAGTCACTGCACTGAAGAGTGTTGCAAGCAGCAGAAATACCAATGACTGAACAATCTAAAAAACAAAACAAAACCTGATATCAAAACCACCTATTTACTAACCCATACTAACAAATATTCCAGGTGTTAAAGATGGCTTTTAGGTCAAAAACCAGTTAGAAGATGATGCTAGATAAATTCACAGAATTAACTTGTTCATGATGACTAATTATTGCTCACTGTAATAGCTTACTAAGAATTTGGATACTTGCCTCATTCACAGCACAAAGGTAACATAAGCAGTAGACTCAAATTTCTTACCCTTTTAGTAGATAAAATGCAGGTAGACAAATTCTAGGATTAGTAAAAATAAAGCACCCAAATAAGGAGCTCCCTAAACCCCAGCCCACCACCTCAAGCAGATACCAGACTTTGCTTTTAACACATAAGGCTGTTTTAATTAGTAAGCTAATTTAAAAGCAAGCTAATTTACTGTTACCAGTTCTCAGAATCACAGAGTCATTGTGTGCACCAGAAAATATCTGTTATTTTTACTGCATTACAGGTTAGCTAAATCTCACTTTTAACTAAATACCAATTTAAAAATAATTATTGCAGTAGGGACCAAACACTTTCACAGGAATTTAAAGCCTACTTACCTCATATTCTGGTCCAAACCCAGCACGACCAGAGATCTGACCAGACAATTTCCATAGAAAAGGAATTCCTCCACAGAGAAGAATCATCTTAAACACAAAACCACATACCACAGAGGCAGTATGGAACACACTGTCATCTTAGTCTACTAATGTTCCAGTATGATAAGAACCTTTTAAGGGTGAATAATACAAGTTTTATAATAAGCTTTTGTGCCACCCCTCTGATCTTAACAGTGATAAAACAAGCCTGGAATATCTGTCATTAATTAATTTTTAATTTACAGAAGGAGAACAGGTAATTAATATTCTTCCTGTGAAATGCTAGCATATTTCCAAGCCTATTTTCTGTATACTTTGCCACTGTAGTGGCTCAGACCTAAGGTACATCTTCAGAAGCCTTTAAAGCTCGTGTGCCCTGTGGTTGTATACCCACACACATAATATTCATATAGCAGCCTCTCCTCTTGAAGAGGAGCTGCCCTCTTCTCCTTGAGGTTCACCTGTGTTCCCTGCCCAGAGAAAAGCCCCAGTTTCACTTTCAGTACTGGAGTTGCTACAGCCATGTTGCAGAAAGCTCCATGGTCTCCTCCTCCTGCCTGCTCCCAGCCTCTCCTGACATACTGGCTGCCAAGGAACATCTGGAGTGAACATCTGGCGTACACCAACATCTAAGAAATGCCCAAGCTAGAGCTACTGAAGCAAGTGCTCACTGCAGCTCACAGCCAGGCCTGGCAGCATTTCTCATACAACTCAACTTGCAAATATTTCACATCTGCCTTCTTAGTGAGTGATGGATGCATCACTATATATAAAACCAGTTTTCAAGCAAGCAGCCTTCCACTATTGATGACACTAGGGGTTTATATATTTCTTTATTTTGAAAAAGCTCACTCCTACAACCTAACATTTAGGGTGCATTTTCAGTGTCAGGAGGAGATGGAAATGATCAAAGCAAGATACTAAACAGCATTCACCCAGATGTGGGCCCTTGAGAGCCATCCCTGCTTTCCACTTCAAAACGGAGCTATTTGCTTTATCTCTTGTATGCAGTTATCCAACCAGTTTTTTATTCATCTAACAATCCATCTGGCAAACTCTTGTCTCTCTTATTTAGTAACTACAATGTTTTGGACAACTGTAACAACAGTAGGCCCAGATGAAGATAAACACAGATAACTGATTCAAGCCTTTGAATAGCAGGGCACTGAATTCAGTGGCAAAAGATGCTCATTCCAATTATGCATATTTTCTTTAGGAACTTTAGGAACTTCTGGCTAAAGTTCTTGAAATCAAGAAAAAGCTTCAGAGCCTTTTGACTCATTGTATTTGTGAGGCAGTTCCACCTCACCTTACCCACCAGCCCACTGCCAGAGAGCAGCTTTGGTTTCCAAATTAAACACTGCTTCTAAAATCAGTCAGAAACATAAAAACTTTTCAAACTCATATAAAAATTGTCTAATTCTGCTGAAAATCCCAACAAGAGGAATATAACAGATTGCGCTGACAAAACATCCTTCTTACAAGTTCATACAAAAGGAAATGAAGTACAGGTCAAGCAGCACAAAGGAGATCAGGAAATATGAAAGTCAAGAGGTATCACAAACCTCTGAGTACAGAGTTTGCATCATCCTTCTACAGTTACATGACTGACTCTATTTTACAATCCTATTTTCATTATATTTTATAACTGACATTTATGCTTCCTTAGGTTCATCATGAACTAGGATCATATTTCAATTTTACTTTGCAATGCCAGGCATTTTAGGATTCCTTTTTGTGCCAGTGATGAGCAATGTGTTTCAGCAGTGAGTTAGAACAGGTTTCTTTTCTCCTAAGAGTGTAAATCACACACATAAATATTTTTTTCTAACTTAATGGTTCTGTTTTTTTCATATATGTGAATGTTACTTGCCCAGTGTTCTTATATTTTAGAAATATCCATTGGTACACTTGCTGTTTTCACAAGCTTTTTACTTTCTACTTAAATTTTATCTAAAAATGAAAGCAGTTGCATTCCTCCAAACACAGGGAAAGGTCTGTATTTTAACAATTTAAAATAACTCTCAAGCTGCTTAATTATTTTGCAATGGAAACTACTACAGAGTATAATTAAAATGTAAGTTAAGACTGTAGTTGTGCAGTATGACTCAGCACTGCAGAAAGAAATTACACGCTTTCTGAATAATTACTTCTTTTTGTGTAGCAAATACAGCCACAAACAAAAACAGAATATAAATGCCAGGGTTTGCTGTAGACACCAGAATGCCAGGGGTGCAGCTGCATGGGATCACTAAGAACCAAAGTAATTCACAGTTTGACATGAAAAATATCATACAAAAGGTACTTACAGTGCCCTCAACCTCTGAATAGAGGCCTGACCAAAAGCTGAAAGTACTTTTGTCCAACTGATAGAGACGAGATTTTTCAAATGTTTCTGAGTCCATGATCTGTCCCAGTTCCTGTGGCACATGTGTTGTTGTTCTATACACCCTCCTCTGAAAAATTGAAGACAAAACTTAAAAGTCTACACCTAATTTTTTTAAGGAGATAAGTAAGATTTAAAAATAACACCTAAATGATCCCATGTGCCACCATAGAAAGTTAAAAAGCAAAAACAACACACAAAGGAACAATTATTCCTAAATTCCAGTTTTCTATGAAGTTCTAAATATAAAACTGAAGCATAATTGTTATGTTGTAACCAGGAACTGAACTGCTGACTTAATAACTTATTTATGTGTGATCAAATACAGATCACACAAACTGATTTTTCCACAGGATGTGGAAAAAACTTACTTACTGCACCACAGTTAACAGCTAAACTCATTTTGAAACCACACACCAGATCCTCCTGTGCAAACCATGTGACATCACCAGAACACAGAGTGGCTGCACAAACAGGTGCTATTTCATTTTCAGCAAAGAACTTGCCACTTGAAATTATTTTTAAGACTAAAAGTCTTTTCCCTCAGCTGTCTTGTTTCAGTATATTTACCTGTTCTCTAAGGAAAAGCTCCTTTGTCATTTCAAAACACATTCTGCCCTGTGCGGGGCATCAGGATGCTCTGTCCCTGCTCCAGGGCTGAAACACCCGGGGTGCGGCTGCTGCTGCACCTGCCAGGGGGAGGCTGGGGATGGAGATGTGCCTGGCTGGAGACAGCCAGGACCTGACCAAAGGGACGCTCCGTCCTCCGTGTGATATTCTGCAATAAAAAACGGGGATGCGCCTTCCAGGGCGGCTATCGCTCGGAGGCTGCCCAGCCATCACCTGCTCGGGGATGGCAGCTCGCAGCACTTCCTTCCTTTTTTCCTTCCCCGGTTAAACTGCCGCTATTTTAACTCACGCGTTTCCTCATTTTTGCTCCCACCGCTCTCTCTCAGCTGTCCCGGGGATGAGGACGGAGCTGCCGGGGGTGCCGAGCCGCCGCTCCGAGCGCTCCCACCACCCGCTCCACAGGCAGGGGACAGAGCCCACCGAGCCCCGGCCCCGGACACCCTCCACGTGAGGCCGGGCCCGGCCCGGCACAGCCCCGCCCGCCAGCGACTGTCCCCGCCAGAGCCCCACCGACCTGCCGGTGCGCCAGGAAAGCCTCCCAGAGGTAGACGGCCCACGAGAAGAGCAGGACGGAGCAGAAGATGCGGCGCTCGGCCGGCAGCTCTGTCCACAAGTCGCCGGACAGCGCCATGGCCGCTCCACCCGCCGCACGCTGCGGCGCCGCCCGGCGGCCGGAGGAACCGAGGGCGGGCCGGGGCGGGGCGGCCGTGAGGGGCGGCTGCGGCGGGCTCCGGGAGGGGCTCCACGGTGGGATTCGTGCCGGGCTCCGTGAGGGGCGGCTGCGGCGGGCTCCACGGTGGGCTCCGTGAGGAGCTCCATGGTGGGCTCCGTGAGGGGCTCCGTGAGGGGCTCCACGGTGGGATCCGTGCTGGGCTCTGTGAGGAACTCCATGGTGGGCTCCATGCTGGGCTCTGTGAGGAGCTCTGTAGAAGTCTCTGTGCTGGGCTCCGGAACTCCATGGTGGACTCCGTGCTGGGCTCTGTGAGGGGCTCCGTGGTGGGCTCCGTGCTGGGCTCTGTGAGGAACTCCATGGTGGGCTCCGTGCTGGGCTCCGTGAGGGACGGCCGCAGCGGGCTCCGTGCTGGGCTCCATGGTGGGCTCTGTGAGGGGCTCCGCGGTGGGCTCCGTGAGGGGCTCTGTGAGGAGCTCCATGGTGGGCTCCGCGCTGGGCTCCGTGAGGGGCTCCATGGTGGGCTCCATGCTGGGCTCCGCGCTGGGCTCCATGAGGAGCTCCACGGTGGGCTCCGTGCTGGGCTCCGTGAGGGGCTCCGTGGTGGGTTCTGTGCTGGGCTCTGTGAGGAGCTCCATGGTGGGCTCCGTGCTGGGCTCCCTGAGGGGCTCCGTGGTGGGTTCTGTGCTGGGCTCTGTGAGGAGCTCCATGGTGGGCTCCGTGCTGGGCTCCCTGAGGGGCTCCACGGTGGGCTCCGTGCTGGGCTCTGTGAGGAGCTCCATGGTGGGCTCTGTGAGGGTCTCCGTGAGGGGCTCCACGGTGGGCTCTGCGCTGGGCTCCATGAGGAGCTCCACGGTGGGCTCCGTGCTGGGCTCCGTGAGGAGCTCCACGGTGGGCTCCGTGCTGGGCTCCGTGAGGAGCTCTGTAGAAGGCTCTGTGCTGGGCTCCGGAGCTCCACAGTGGGCTCCGCGCTGGGCTCCGTGAGGGGCTCCATGGTGGGCTCCATGAGGAGCTCCACGGTGGGCTCCGTGCTGGGCTCCGTGCTGAGCTCTGTGAGGAGCTCCATGGTGGGCTCCGCGCTGGGGTCTGTGCTGGGCTCCATGAGGAGCTCCACGGTGGGCTCCGCGCTGGGCTCCGTGAGGGGCTCCACGGTGGGCTCCGTGCTGGGCTCCGTGAGGGGCTCCACGGTGGGCTCCATGCTGGGCTCCAGCTCAGCTCTGCCCGCCACGGCCACCCCAGTGAAGGGTGTGTCGGGGGGTACCATGGCAAGGATCTGGGCAAATGATTAAATTATTTTTCTTCAGTTTAAGTTACTTGGACCATGCACAATAACACATATGAAGCCTCATTAGTACTTGTCCAAAACCTTTTAAAGAAACTAAGAGAAGTACAATAATTAACACTGACTGCTGCAGTACTGGCTGATTTAAAGCCTGAATGCGCACTTCAGATTTGGCCTCTGTAATGTTCTGTAATGAAGACAGCATGGTGCTGCCAAAATTCAGAGCTCACCTGGCAGGAGATGAGTGTTCCATGCAGAGCACAGGCACCGTGTAATCTGACAAAGATGCAGAAAAAGGGGTGTTAACATTGAGCCACTTCTAGATATGGCATTTTAGTATCAGCCATTTATCTAATTTCTATCGGTCTGAAATAGAACATGTCTGTATTTTTAATCATTAATAAAATAATAATAAAATAGTGCCAACTTAATGTTCTCATTATCTCTCAGTTACCTTTTAAAACTATATAGAAGAATGACCTGTCAAATATATTGAAGCCTAGCTTTTTCTGTAACCTAATATATCCCTGCAGAAGAACAGGGTAGATGAGGAAGTGCTGCTGGCTCTGCTGAGGGTTCTGCTAGAAAGAGAGAGATCAGACTGGAATGTCTCCCATTGTAAAGGTATTTACAGGTTTTCACTACCCCAGGGAACATGGCAGGGCAGCCCACAGCCTTGGAGAATTTAGGCATGCACAACCAATAAGCACCATTTTGTCCTATAAAATCCACACATTTCAAGACAACAATTTAAAAAATGGAAGCAACATTCCCCATGAACTGTTTTTTCTGAGGTATCTGCTCTTCACATTAAGAATTTTTTTTTGGAAAGTCAATGCAATGGTGTTCTTTTACTGCAGAACAAAATGTTTCTCCCGTATACTTGAAAGCAAGAAGCTGGAAATGTTACATAATTTTTAAGACAAATTCTGGTAGCACTTGGGAGGGAAAACTATGGTCTACTTCATGGCAGGAAAACAGAAATAGACAGTAAAAACTCTTCAAACCTTTACCGTTTTGTGGCCTCCTTCTCCAACACCCGTCTGTGCCAGGCAATTAGATCAGATAAAAAAGCCCGAAGAAACTGGGATAAAGATGTATGTTCAAGCTGTACAGTTTTGATGGTGTGACAGCTATTACCTCATTGAGTCAGTAGTGAATTTTGTAGATGATGGAGATCAAAGACTGAATCACACTCACAAGTCTCTAAAATGGGCAAGATACAATTTTTGTAACAAGTGCTGCACAGGTATCTTTCAACTGAAGTATGAACACCCTATGAGTGTTTCACATTACCAAAAGTCCTGGCAGTGCATGGAGCGCCACATCATCACAGGAAAATGCCTCCAAGCTGCTTTTGTGCAGCCCAAAGCAACTCAACCATTTTCTAAATACAACTCTTGAATTGAGGAATGTTGCAGGACTTGTCTCCATACCTGGCAGCCAGAAATGATGTGTCTCTGTCTTGTCCTGTGGTGTATCCCAGCCCATGGAAAGAGCAGGAACTGGACAGAAGGACCCTGCTCAACAGGCTCTGTAACACCAGCGTGCACTGTGCAGTCTGCACTCTGCCAGGCACACACAAAACTCATCTGGGAAAAGCAGAATTGCATGAAGAAGTGTGTTTCACGTGCAACTAATTTTGTGGGAAATACAGCTGCTTGACTTGAAATTTAGTCTCCAAACCTCAAAGATTTACTATAGATGCTCACCACAACGGGACAGGGTCATCTGGGGGATGCTCAAACCCTGAGAGGGTAAGGGGGTCTCTCTGGCCCAATACCTGAAGCAGCCATCACATGTCATACTAAGTTTGCTGTTAAACTTCTGTTTTGAGATCTTGAAGATTCAAGTGTGTTAAAACAGGACTCAAACTTGAAATTAAAAGGTACTTTTTTAATTTCGTGAGAAATTACTTTGGAACATGCTGAAGGCTGTCTGATGATGTTGCAGTATTTAACCTTTTGACACAACTTTTCTTCCATTTTTAGAACTTTGTGAGAAGATTGATGCACCATATTTCTTTCATTAAAAGAACCTTATAGTTTAGAGTGAGGAAATTACATGAAGGCATTAAGCTACACTTCTCTTGCTTGGTGTATGATTTTAAACCTAGCTTTTAAAGATGGCCACATAACTTTATTTTTGTAAATGTAGTATGAAGATGTCATTTCTGCCTCATTTTGGTCATACCACAGTTCACTAGACAGTTTGCTAGCTGCCATCATTCCTGCACCCAACACATATTCAGCTCTGTTTTAAACATTTCCTGAATTTTTTTTTTCAATCTCCTTTGCACTGCTGCTTTTCAGATTGCAGTATAAAATCCCAGAAGCCCCAACAACACCCAAGCCTCAGTCAGTAAGAAGCAGTGATTGCTGCTTGCTCATTAGAACCCCCACTGAGATGGGGAAATACCCCATTTAGGGGACAGTGATTCTGGGCCTTGTGATGTAGCCATGTGTGGTAAGAAATGTGATACAGAACAAGAAACAGAGCTTAAAATATTAGCTGACTCTTCTGGTGAATCTTCATTCATTGTCCAAAAAGCTAACTGGGGAACCCTAAATATATACTCGTACTTTCATGTGACACAACCTGTTTGGAAGTCTGGCAACACTCATCACACACTCAGGTGGTGCCAGACAGTCTCAGCAAACACCCTCTGCCTTTAAAGGAACAAAGACTTTCTCATGCATAAGTGTAATTAGTTAGCCTGTATAATTATAGTTCTTTCAAGTCTGAAAAAAACACAGAGAATGTTGTAAAATAAAATGTAATACTTTACTTTTCTGTATCTATTTTATCACTCTGATAAATTATCTACAAATGCATAAAACTTAAGCAACACCGTCCAATGCACTCAGAATGGTCCCAAACTCAATTACAAGTAAAGCACATTAAAGATTTACTGTACAGTAAACAAATGGGTGAAAAACTGTAATTTATTGAAACTCATAACTCAAAAAATATAAGATGCTGTAGTGTACAATATGTTACACAAAGCACCCTAGGGTGCACATTCAAGTCAAGTAATAACTCCATTGCCCCCCAAACCCTGGTACCCCAGTACTTGTTCCATATACAATCATGCACATTTACTCTTCAAGAGGAAGCCCCCAGTATTCTGATGTGTTAAATAGCACCAAAATCAGCATTGTTCATTGAAAAAAAATGGGGAGCTAAATTAACTTGGCCATTACTTTTGACAGATATTATACATTCATGGAATTAAACAGTCAAAACTAACCTAAAAAGTGTGAACTGTAACAATTACTGTTCTAATTTGAAGTTCTCCCCATACAGCAGTAGTGGAGGCTATCTGCTCTAAGCCAGACTACTTACGTACTTCCTACACACAGCTCATCTGCCTTTTTTGTTGGAAATAAATCTATGAGAGGTGTGGAAAACTTGGATCTTTCAAGAACTACGACTGGTCGTAAGTAATGCAGCTGTTTTAAGGCAAGGTCTCCACAGTCCGTTAGGGCCTTGTCCAAGATTGCCCTCAGATTTTCTAAAGAAGGGGCAGATGAAGACTCTGACAGCAAGGGCTGGATCTCTGTTAGCTGCCCAGGGTTATTTGGGGTTATGATTACATTTTCATCACTTACAAAGTTGTTTACTGGTGTATTCCCTTGACTGTCTCCTTCTTTCTGCAATGTTTCATCTACTGGCAACTGCTCAGGAGACTCCCATTCTACTACCTCATCACAATCATCATCATCATCATCATCTTTCCCCTCACATTCCTGAATAAATTTTAAAAATGAAGACTCGAATCCCATTGGTTTATATGTCTTTAAATCAAATGGTTTGGACACAGGAGGCTTTTGAAATTTGTCTTTTGTAGCACAAAGTACATTTCTTTTTGCATTCTGATTAACTGCACTACGTTGACATTCCTCTGGGTCTTTCTCTCTTGGCAAATCTAATTGTAAACTGGAGAAAGAAGAGCTATTCTCTCTTTCACTACTTTCAGAAAGATCTTCAGTTTTACACACAGTTGTCTCCCCAGTGTTAGGCTCTTCAAAACAAGTGTTCTTTGAACTGTGGTTATATTTTAAAGTGCCTGCATACACAAAGGCACTGGCATCACAATTCACACTACTCGGTGAACATTGCTTTTGGTCTTCATTACTCACATCTGGAGGATCACATGCAGGCTTTGGAACAAGGGGTTTGTCACTTTCCTGCACAGGCTCAGAATCAGCCGATTTATCCTCATTCATTTCTACACCTTTTTTACCCAAGCCTGAAGCTGTGCCAGAGCAGGACTGCTTTTCAGTCATGATGCCACATTTCACACAAAGAACGAGTTTCTGCAGGCGCTGCTCGATGTACATGTTGGTCATCTGGTGTGTGCGTTTGTAGTGCCTCACGATGCTGCTTTCCAGTTTGACAACAGACAGGCAGCCCTGCACCATGCAGGGGTACTGGGTCTGGTTAGACTTCTCTTTGCACATTTGTAAGGCTTCCTCTTTTGTTTTGAAATTAAGCGAATGCTTTTCCCTGCTTCTACTAATTCTTTTTGCTTTTTCTTTTAATTGCTTCCCATTCTGCTTGCTTGTGCTAAAGCTGTCTTTCAAACAATTTTGCTCATTTTTATCTTCATCATCATCATCCTCTTTCCGATTTCCAAAGAGACTATCATAATATTCATTGTGTCTGAAATATACATGTTGAGAATAGTTACTGTAATTTGTGAAAATTCGATTGCAGCCATTAAGGTCACAATGGATTTCAAAATCTTTGTTTAATTTTTCTTCATTGGCATGTTCTTCTATTAGGTGCTGTTTAAGCTTATTAAAAGTATAAAACACAGCATGGCAGTGCGCTTGGTTACAAGCAAATCTGGCAGACTCAGCTTCAGATATTAGTTTTTGATCCTCTAAGATTTCATTATGGAAGTCACTGCAATGTCTAGCAAGAGCTTTAGAACACAGAAAACGCTTACCACACTCTTTGTGTTTGCATGCAAATATTTTTTTACATTTGACAAGTTCCCTTTTTGTTCTTGCTTTGT